CAGGCGGCTCCAGGCACGCCCAGAGCCCAGCGGGCCGAGGGGCGCTGGGAAGCACCACCACCACCCCGCTCTGTGTTCACACGCGTTTATTTTCAGCTCTTAACAATACAACTGACACGGAAAAGGCAGCAGCGCTCCACCTCCACGCACGGCAGGTCCAAAAGCACAAAAGCAGATGTCCACGCGCTTCACAGATCTGCCAGAGTCTTATTTTTCTAAACACAGTCATCGCTGTCCTTGCCCATTACGGACCAGTGACCAATAGCCTCGTTACTGACCCCACCGTCCTCCCACCCTGGCTGTCAGAAGCCACTAGACAAGTGATCAAACTCGCCCGATTCAGGACGTACCAACTGCGTACAGGCTGGTAGCGATTTAAGGCGAGTTTAAGGCCCAGGGAAGCCAATGACTGAACTCACCCTTCATTCAAGGCAAACGACTGGAAATTTGTACTAGTTTCTAAGTGTGCAAAACACGGCTTCCCTCCCAGCCAGGTTTCTACACAGACTGGCATTTTATCAAAGATACAACAAGAAAATACTGAACGCTGCCTTTTCTTACAAAGACCGTGCTGTTAAAAATACCGATACCTGCAATTTATTGTAAACATTCGTTAACAACTCTAGGCACGCAACAGACAAGCAACATTCAAAATTTTGCAAAGTTTGGCCTTACACCAGCTGCTTCAACTTCCACAGTAGAGCGATACGACAGATGAAGCCCATATGTACTCAACCATACACATTTCGAAAGCGTTTTTTTGGGTTTGGGTTTTTTTTAACAGAGAAAAATGAGCAAAATCACCTCAACTATATGTCAACTTCAATGTGCCAACAGCATTAGGACAAAAATTAGTACTAAAATAATAATGTTCGGAAATTTTTAAAATATACCAGGTACAAAACCAGGTGTGGCTTTTAGAGTATTACTCATAATAACAAGCCATTACCAAAGCCAGTGCAATAAATGTTTCAGTTTCACATTTAGCTGAAACCCAAGTGTCTCTCTGAACATCCCAGACCCATCTGCTGGCAACCTAAAGGAAAGAAAAGAAAAAGCTATTTGTGAATCTGTAAACAGCACAGTTTTTATATTTTTTTAATAAGAACACACAGCATTATATAATAATGATATAATTGCATTATGAGAGTTACAAGTAGTGACAACAACTGCAAAATTACAGTGAAAATGAACAAGTCCTATTTGATGTTAAAATACATGTTCTTGCTTCACAGTAAAACTTCCACCCCAACAGATCAAAAAAAAATCCCTACACCAAAAACTCAATTCTCTCTCGTGTTCACTTGTTAGTACTTTAGCGTACGGTAACAGCACCCCTTCAAAAGCAACATGAACAGACGTTAGTTTTGGGAACATATACAACTAAGAGGTCCTGTCCCCCACTCCTCCACCTCTAGCTTACTCCAGTCTACTTCTGACCACTTACTGGGCTCTCAGCTTTTTTGATAAAACTGTTTTCAAAGCTAAAATGTGTGAATTGAGTGCTGAAATAAACATATTCCTCAGGAGAAAAAAGTTAACTCAGACCATTTCAGGAATCCATTTTAACCTACAGCTCCTCAGTTCAAGTACAACTTCAGAGGCAGCATACTGCAAGAGAGCACCAGAAAAGTAGGTAGATGCAGGCCCCTCACAGACTGCCTTCATGACTGAAGCTGACAGCCCTTCAAACATTGTTTTATGTAACCCACTAAAAACAGGTACAGTTTCATCAGGTTTTAAGAGCTGATGATGACCGCTCCTAAATAGAAGTGCTCTCTGACACCCGGCAAGACACCTGAAAGTGTTCTGAATGCTAACGGGAGCTTGCAATACGTGTAAATTTAAATACAACCCAGGAAAGCCTAGAATACTTTTCTTTTGGGTGTGCCAGGTTCAGATCGCTGTTCGTTTGCAGTCCCAGGAGCATGTCTGGTGGCAGCTCCAGTTGAAACAGTTTCCACCCGTTCCTTTCCATGTCACCCCACACTACAACTGCACAGCATTTTGCACTGAATGTGAGAAGCCAACTGGAGATCAAAAGTACGTTGGAAAACGAAATAGAAAATTCACTGCAGGCATGCAATTGTACTGGCATAGCATGCTATGGAAATAAGTGGCTGACAGGTAAGAGCAGCATGGGCTGCTTACCACTGTCAGTGAACTCAAAAAGAAGACAGCTTTCACAGGGTTAGGTAGAATCACAGCAGTACCTTAAATTGTCACCTGGCATACTACTCCCCATAAAGAACCCAAAGGCTTCAAGACCACCTCAAACTAGTTAAGCTGCTGAATGTGGATGAACGCCTAGGAGATAACATACAGTTCTAAAAATTATTTTCAATTTGCAAAAGATATTACATGTTTGCTCACATTTATTGCCTGACCTGCCTTTTCCACAATTAGTACTGATACCACGTACTTATAACGGTCAAAGTCCAATTCCTTCACAGCCTTTAATATTTCTTCTGAGACTGAAGCACACAAGGAGGGACTAGAAACTCCATCGTATTTGGCTTGTTGAAGTTTATTCTATCAAAAACAATTTTGAAAGGTCTTAGTTTTCATCCTGGTAGTCTTTAGCAAAAAAAAAATTTAGTCATTTCCATTAGAAGAACGTTAGAAGAACTAATGAGTAGAATAGTCAATATAGGTGATGCTCTCAAACAGCACAGGCTGCACTATTTTTACTCTAAAATGTTTTATCAAAATGTTTTTTGAAAGTGACAAACATGTCCAGCCAATCTCCATTTAACAAACAGCAGTGTATTCTTCTCCATCATTTGGGCTCAGTTCACTGGAAAATAGTGCTACAAATTCCTGGTCCAAATATCCAAGACAGCAGAATTACAAGAGTTGGTTATAACTATTCAAGGTATCACTAACAGCTACATATTATCTCAACAAATTGTTCTCCTTCATTTTTGCTTAATTTTTTTTATGTGGCAGTCAGACTGTCAAGGACACCAAATATATTTTATGCAGGTCATGTGGTATTAGTAGAACTAATTGAAGGAGTAGAATTCCACAAATTCAAGGTCAGAATCTTTGGATAGCTGGATATTTTGCAGATTAGGGTACTTTGAACCGTGCTATAGCTCAATTTGATTTAGAAATGCATAACAGTTCAAGAAGCTTCAGCTCCATCTTAACAGCACATGCTCAATGGCGACCTTGCAGAGGGCCGCCTGCACTTTGCAAAACAGAGCACATTCACGTTACATTTGTGTGCCAAAACTCAAAGTCTGCAAAGACTTATGCGTACGTTTATGCAACTTACACTGTTCCATTAACATAGTCTTTGCAAGACAAGCTACTTTTGCAATAAAATTAGACAATTAATTTAAAAAAATACTATACCGTTAGTATCGCTTGAGCTTTCTCTCTTACTAAATAATCCTGAAATTTATTATGTGACTCCAGTCTGTAAGTATTAGCATATCTTATCTTTGACCTATTAGCTTTGAATGCCAATAGCTTTGCTTTCATTGAATCACTAATATACTCTTCTTCCGTTGGAGCCATACCTAAAGCTTGGTAATCTGATTGTGTCCTTTTTCCTTTTGTCTGTGCAAAACAATAAAAAAGTCCACATCACACATCAATAGTTTAACATTTAACAGTCTCTAAATAATAAATTATGGTGTACAGTTAAGAGGAAAAAAACAATCAGTCTAGGAATATGTTACAAAAAAAAAAGCAGAAAAGCTAGAAAATTGGTATCTTCTTCTGACTGTTTTGACACTACTGCTTTGACTGAGGAAAAAAAAAAAAAAAAAAAAAGGGGGTAAATTTTTCCCCAATTTTAATTTTTTTTCCCCAAGTCTCTAAATAATAAATTATGGTGTACAGTTAAGAGGAAAAAAACAATCAGTCCTAGGAATATGTTACAAAAAAAAAGCAGAAAAGCTAGAAAATTGGTATCTTCTTCTGACTGTTTTGACACTACTGCTTTGACTGAGGAAAAAAAAAAAAAAAAAGAACAGTGGTTAACTTCTGCTCAATTTTAACTTCTTTTCCACCAAAATCCAAATGAAGTTTGCATTTAAACTCAGACACACCATACTACCACTCTGAATCCACTCGATTTTCCAAGCAGAAACACACAGATATTAACATATGTTTTCAAGATTGTTAACCACAAGCTTTTCATTCAAACAGCCTACACAAAACCCAACGTATATGTTCAGTTCATTTACTACATAATTTTGCTTGTCCTCATTCCTTGTGAAGCTACTAAACAAATGCCTCATGTATTCATAACCGAATTTGCTCATTAATAAAAAAAGGAAAAAATATGCTCCAATTTGCAAGCTTTGTAATTTTGCTTAGAACTCAAAAACAGAGTAGTCCTCCTTTTTATTTGGCATCAGAACTCTGAAAATCCTAGTTTTTTCCCCATCCAGCTTGTGTACTATCATTCTGTTCAACACACATAACAAAATTTGGCCCTCTATGAAAGCAAGCAGCAAGTCTGATGATGCACACAAAAGATATCACCTGCTGTCCTCCACGGCTGGCTTAAAACAGAACTGTGAGAACAAAACAAGACAGAGACAGAAAAGCACATGGAACCAATGAGATCATAACAAAAGCTACAGACAGTGGTATTCCATACCAGCTACCCCCTAACTAACCACTTTCAAGTTTTGCTGACTCTTCAGGCCCTTGCTCCACTTCCTGACTACACCTAGAACTTAGGTGAGAGAAAATCATCAATTCCTTCTCAGAAGAACAGAAAAGAGCATGAAGGTGATATAACACTACAGTGCAAAGCTTACACTAAGAAGTATAGAAAAAAAAAACCACCATACAGTTATCCATAATATAAAAGTCTAGTGAGAATTATTTGAAATTATGCACTACTCAGGGGCTCACAAATCTCTCAGTCAGAGGAGTTTGAGAATATGGGAAGCCATGCAGTTTCTTCTTTATGAAATCACTTTCATGTTAGCCCTGTCAACACCATGGACATCACCTACATCTCTCCTCTGGTTCCTTACTGTTAGATAATTCTGTTAAAAACCAGTGATGTTGGCAGCCCTAGTGCAAACTGGCTGCAGGTATTTGTTGATGCCATGCCAACAATGCAAACTTTAAATAGTACTTACGCTACACTAAAAATGCAAGGAGCAAACCCATTTGCACCTAGGCTGTGCACTCTCATTATCTTCTAACTGAAACTCAGATGCATAAAGACTTTAGCCCCTACCTGCTCATCGCAGGTCCCCTAACAGAATAAAAAAACACCTCAAGTCTGCCATCTGAGCTGCTCAAATGAGCATCCCAATCCATGTCAGTGGAAATGAACCTGTGAAAAAGGTCACAATCCAAACAGCAATTCTTTGCTAACACCGTTCAGCATGAGTCACATCATCTTCAGCCTGTACCATTACAGATGGAAGAAAATTCATGTTTATAGTACACAACTGCTAACAATGCTGTTACTTACAAGTTTACCTGCTATGACTAGTGACAGAAGTTTTCCTAAGTATTTCTTCATGTGCAAGAAGTCATTTACTAATGAGGAAACCAAAAACCTTATTGATATCGCTACACAAATGGTTAATAAATAAACCTGCTTTTATATTTCACAATACAAATACTGCGATTGCAGGTTTTAGCACAATGTTGCAATTACATTTCTATATAGTATTTACATCCTTTGTGAAAGAATCTCTCAAAAATTCAAGAACTATCTTTGCATTTGACTATACAAAAGCCTGTTCTTACACTACTGGACTCTACTACGTTGGCTTAACCTTGAACATATGGAAGTAAGCACGCCAAGAGAAGCATATATAGCCTTTAGTTATTTGAAATAGCCTTTTGCTATTTGAAAGAAATGCTGTTTGTTTATAAGTCTGTTTTAACAAACAATAGTTGCTTTAAAGAAACAGCTATTGTTTATTTCTTCAAAAGATGGCACACCTCCTAACTTAGAGGACTTACAGTAGCACCCCAAGTTGAAAAGACTGCACCACCAAAGGGAGGACCACCCTTGCCTTCTTTTTTCCTTCACAAGACTTTAACAACTTTGCTTCCCAAAGGCAAAGGTGGCATACCAGCTGCAAGGTGGATGCGAACATGACATCCCCCCAAGCAGAAAGGGGACGAGCTATCCCAAAAGGGATGTACAACAGATGGGAACAGCATTTCCGATACAGGTTTTCACAAGATCACACTCACCTTTTAATCACGCACCAAGCCCCACGTTCTTCCACACACTGCACCGTCCTTCCTAAAGGCCCAAGCCCCATCCCTCCCTCCTTCCCTCGCCAGGGGAAGTGCTCCACTCCCGGGAGGCGCCCCCACCTCAGGCGAGGGCCAAGGCGGAGCGGGAGGCCGCCGCCACCGCCGCCGCCTCAGCCCGCGCTAGGGCCACGTGACGGGGGGGGCCGGTGTGGCCGGGGACGGCGTCC